TGTCCACATATTTATGCCATCATACCAATTACACATTTTTGGGATTTGGTTACAGAACAAGAATTGGCAAGACAAAGTTTTCATAGAATTTATAAGTTATATTTTTCACCAATTTTTCGTGCTGATGCCAGAAATTTATGGATTGATAGATCTGTATTGCAAGGAAATAATGATATGAAAGAGACAGAGATTTTATACAATGTAAGAATGCAAAAAAAAAATTATTTACTTAGCACTTGTCAATTATTAGAATAGTTTCTTCTAGGTGGCTAATGATGTCACTGATATACATGTAAGCTGTGAATTATTGATTTATTGAAACCTTCCGCTGACAGTGTACAACCAATTCTTTTTAAAATAACCTCTGTAAAAAACTTTCATCCTTGAAACTACATGCAGTGAACTTATGCACAACACATAATAAACATCAAGGATTCAATAAATATCAGCAGACGTGACATGTAAAATTATTGCAAAACATGTTAAGGTCAGGTTAAGTTCCTTGTACGGTTAAGCTTGGAATGTTTGAAGGAGCATTTAAACACAAATATATAATTTAAGTGGCTGTTTCCCAACTTGTCACAGTCCATTGCAAATAGGAGAATGTGATTGTTTATGCACCATTGTTGTTTTTCCACTGAATACAATGCTTAAGCATGTCTTTATGATTTATTCAGTACCCATCTTGGATTCCTTTTCTATGTAAACATATGTCAAAAAAGTTAGGATATCGTTTGCAAGAGTATCACTACCAGTTGAAATAATAATTTCTCAATTTGTAAATCTATGAGTGATACCCAGCTTCGCTACACCTCATTGAGTGTTTAATTTCCTTGTACCTTTGAAACTTAAGCTCTCAGCTGGATAATTAATTGTATTAAGAATAACTGAGGTACCGGAAGTGATATGATTGGTTAATATTTATTTATTATTGTTCCACTGCCCTTCTGACAATTGAGGCCTTTTCATATAAAAACAGTAAATGAATGACAAACAGAATGAATTGACCAACAGAAGCTTGTGTTATCTGTGTTCTCTCAAAGCCCTGTTTGATTCATTGTGCCAGTAAATTGTGTAACTTGGCTTAATTTTACACGTAGTTAATAGCAGATTCTAAAAATGATGGAACAAAAATGCTGATTCAATCTGTTATTTTAGCCTTTTAGAGATTCCTTTCAAAATTTCTGAGACTTCCCATGCCACTTTTATGAGAGAGTCCCTGGCAGTAATTCTCCTGAGGTCAATCCATATAGAATTAACTCTTTGGCATTTTTAATTCCCAACTGAAGAAACATTCAAGTAAAATAATCATTATCGTTTTCACAGATGCATAAGGTTTTAACATAAAATTATCATGACAAGCTTTCTTCTCAAGTTTCTACAGCTTGTAGAATACTTGCCTTGAGGGCTCAAAAAGATAAAAAATTACATGTACCTCATCATCTGTGGATATCTCTCCAGTGGTTCTAGGATCGCAAGAAGCATAAAATGCATAGATAACCAGGCCTGTTAAAACTGTTATTGTTGTACTGAAAATGTTGAGCGGCAGATTCATCCAGACAGCCCTAGCAAACAAAATCATTGCCAAATTAAACATGGTAATGTTGTAAAGGAATGCTTCATGTATTTAGCTTAGAGTTTGAACAAGAACGTATTAATGTTAAATCTACCTGTAAATTATAACTGCGTACTCATAAATTATCTACGGTCAATTTAGCACACTGGGTAATTATTTTCTTTTGGTAGTTCAAAGGAGCACACTTGGTGGAGAGTCTACAATTTTTAGGGACAATTAAGATGCTCATTTTTTCACCTGACACACACACAGTATACAATATTATATACCTGCCTTAACATGATGCCTAACAACAAACAACAGATACTGTAACTCAACATCGTTGGGTTGAGTGCAATGTTCAGATTAAAAGCAGGGTGTAACAATTTTATCATCTAATTTATTAGCCTTAAATGTGGAAATATGTCACTTGTGCAATGGACTGCATGTGGCTGTGCAAACTTTCTGGCAAAGAAACAAGAGCAGTTACTAGAAAAAGGGTGCTTATTGTGGACTAAAATCAAACCATTTCCAGCATGTCATTAGAATTTCGTGTCTTTCCTCCTAAAAAATGTAATTATGGCTTTCCTTTTGTAATAGCTTTGGTCTAGAACCTCACTGTCAGGCTATCCTGTTGCGTTTGTATTGCATAACTTTATCCTAAGTTACAAAATGATCACAACATTCAGTAAACAGAACCAAAACATCAATAGCAAGTTTTTTTTCAGGCTACCCAAATAATCATTTGATATACTATTTACCTTTGCGCTGACTTGAAAGACTTGGAAGTCAGGAAGCGTTGGACAGCGGTCTGGTTGGTAGCATAAACTGGAAGCATTTGAAAAGCACCACCAATAACAAAAGCCCAGAATGTGTCTCGGCGAGTTGGATCTACAGAGAAACTGTAGAAAACGTAATATGTAAATAAATAAATACATACACATGCACATGGAATGGACTGCATGTGCAAACTTTCTAAGTGTATTTATACATTAAATTTTTTTTACAGAAAATCAATGAAAATTGTACATGCAAGACATGAGACTTGCTATGGTTGATGAACCTGCTTCTGTTCAACAGAAATCCCTTGGGGCAATGGTACTGGTGCATAACACGTCATGTGTAATTACCAAAACTAAAGCAAAACCATTTAATCTGTAGTTAATCAAAGTTATAGATGGAAGTTAAAAAGATGAGTCACAAGATTACTATTGTTACTAGATACACGTAACTGGAGAGCTCGCTGTCGATTTTGATACCTTTGTTATCAGCAAATAAAAATAAGCTTGCAGTCTAATTGTTAATTGGTTACTTATCATTCTAATAAGCTATTCCAATACATTTATACAGCACTTGAAGGATTTTAGCCATGCTATAGCAAGTAAGAAATTATTTTTATAATAATACAGTTTCAGGAAACATCCATACCCACCCCCAAGGAAGATCACAGGAAATTCTGAGGGGGTATACAGGTACAGGTTGGGGACAGGGAGGGGAGGGGGTGCATGCCAAGTAGCATTTGGTGAGAGGGGATATGAATACTTTCTGGATCATTCACTGTATTTAATAAAAGTGTTAGGCCTAAACTTACTTTAACTGAAGTCTGTGTCCTTTGTAAGCAACATCAAACACCTTGCCCAGACTACCAACCTTAACTGTCCCAACAATAATGATTGTTATCATGCCTCCTAACATAACAACTCCTTGAAATACATCAGTCCATATTACAGCTTTCATTCCACCCTGAAGAGGAAACACAAATACAGTATGTGTTCATCATAGTGAGACAGCAAAGATTTGCCCAGTAGTAATATTGTACTTAACTTTTTATAGAGTGGTTTTCAATTGAGTGTTGTAAAACCAAAACCAAACCAATTACTTACCAGTTAGACTACTCAACCAATCTCAAACCATAGAAAAACCAACACCAAAGCAATNTTGTCGATATTGCGTAGAAATTTGTTAATCAAAGAATGCGATGCGTGCAAATATTTCTTGCATTTAATAGTGTTTTATTTAAGTCTCTAAGGATTTGTTTTGTACATTTATATTCAAATAATGTTTTCTTATTCATTTTGACTTGAAAATGACGTTGAGTAAATGTCGAAATGTCGTCGCTTTTTAGAGTTTTTTACAGTTTTTAGAGTTTTTAACCGTGCTGGTTTTAACTTTTGTCTTATTGCAATGTTTTATAGTTAAATAATAATAATAACAACAATAATAATAATAATAATAATAATAATAATAATAATAATAATAATACATTTGATTGATATACTGTAATGAATTGATTTTGAATGCATTTTCCCTGACCAGATTTGGGGTGAAAGGTCAAATGAGTCTTACATGATCACTTTTTTCACAGTGCACGAAAAACAGCCTGAAAAAAACCAATCATTGGGACAGTCTCTAACAGCATAGCTAAGGTTGATTATCAGTAATCAAGTGACCCTGAACTAGAGACTTTTATCTGAGGACAAGCGTACTGGAGAACTATTTTCTCGTCGTACATGTAGCAAACAATAGGATAATCTACAAAATTCTAACACTGTGCCTCCGCAACCGGCCGGCATTTTACGGAATTTTTTGTATTTAGAGAGTTACCCTTTGCATTATTGAAAGCTAACCGTAAGCAGGCTAACCGGAGAGCTACATGTATTTAGGCTAATCGGAGTGCTATTCAGGCTAACCGGAGTGCTACTCAAACGTTTTGACTGCCGGTCATTTTATAATAGTCTAAGTTATAAATCCCGATATACCGGGTGCCGGGCTCATCGAAATTAGTATTCAGCCATATAAACAAGGATTTGACAATATTAACTGAAATTTTTAAAAAATAATTTTCACTGCCGGACACGGAGTATTTTGAAAATCCTGTCCGGCTGCCGAACATTCAGACACAGCGAAATTAGTATTGAACCATATAAACAAGGATTTGACATTATTAACTGAAATTTTTAACAAATAATTTTGACTGCCAGACACGGAATATCTTGAAAAACCTGTCCGGCTGCCGGACATAGAGACACAGCGACTATTATTTGGGATAAGCTACATGTCCCGTAGTATCGAGGGCTCCCCCACCAGGATTGTAAGCTTAATTTTATGTACTCGACAGCTTATAACCCAATTTTACAACAAAACATAAATTAACCTGACCCTTGTTACAAAGTAACTTTACCGTGACTTGTAGTCTGTAATTTCCGGCGATGGATTTAAGTGAATTTTAAATGAATGTCACGTCGACCTACCTCGTAACTACTTGTCAAACGAAGATTGTAATACACTGGTAAAAAAACCAGTGCCATCATCGGCACCGAAATAAAGTTCGTGAACGACTGAATCCAATACTGAAAACCATACGTGTAGACCTCAGCTGGGTTTCCAAGAATTGCAATGGACGACACGAAGGACGCGAGAACAGAAATGGCAACAGGAATACTGGACATACTTCGACCGGCCATCAAATACTCATTGTTGTTTTGCTGTGCTCCTCCGGCTCTAGAATAGAATATTCCAATACCCATGGATGCAAGTAAGGTTAAAGAGAAAACGACAAAATCCGCCACACTAAAATGTGCGTGAATTGCCATGATGTTATATAATTCCCAGAGGAAAACAGTTTTTTTTCCTCCGGTCTCAATTACTGAGCCTGCGGTCATGTCAGTGGCACTACAAAATCTAACGATGGTTCATGTAAGACTACTGAATATAGACTATTTTCAAGATGGCTTCCAAATTGACCATTTCTGCCGTGAACGAACTTGATTATGGAGAGTTCATCCATAAATTTGGTAACGTCGTTGAGATGACATCGCTTTGTGCAGCTGCTGTATGCGCTAGAAGGCCTTTCTCCTCATTTGACAATTTCGTCTCAGAGATGTGCCAGTTTATCGACGAGCTGCCCAAAGATGGAAGAGGAGGGATTTTGCGTAGTCATCCCGACCTTGCCGAGCGACTGGAGTCTTTAACGCCCGAATCCCAAAGAGAGCAGACAGAAGCTGGAATAACTACATTTACACCGGAAGAAATTCAACAGCTGAAGTACTACAACAGGCTTTACAAAGAGAAGTTTGGGTTTCCATTTGTGATATGCGCTCGTTTAAACAAGAAAGACACTATTCTAGAAGGGATTCAAACACGTCTGAATAATGATGGCGATCAAGAGTTGAAGTGCGGGATTGAAGAAGTGAAGAAGATCATGCTGCTGAGGATGAAAGATTTAGTTGAATGCGAAGACTCTAAACTATAACAATTTTACTGGCTGCCAATGCAGTACTGTACAGTGGATCCTCTAAGCTCTCCTAAGCGACCACCTCCCTTAAGCGCTTACGGGAGGTTCGACTGTAACTGCCTTTGATTACACAGATTAATGACTATACAAACTTATGATCTTTAGACCCCCGACCAAATTAAAATTAATTAAAATGTTGTGAGAGGTTTAGGTAGGGGTACTTACAGTTTTTTTAAAGCTCTGGTAAGACGAATGTCTCGTGTCGATACGAGAGCCTCGTCTCTCAAGGCTCTCGAGACCTGATCTCTCGTAAACTGCTTCTCAACCGAACATCTCGCAGTCATAGGCGACTTTGATTCGGGGTCTTAGAAACCTACATTTAAAAACTCCCAATCAAACGTACACAGCGTGAACTAAAGAAGAAAGACTTAATGTCAATTGATCCCATAAAGATTGGCAAGTCTAATAATATAAAATTGATAACATGAAATATCACCAGCGTGTGAGTATCGATTTCTATCGATTGATCGATGACATCGATCACAATTAATTTCAGTTTGTCGATTAATATTGATTTATCTGTGATTTTGGTACTTCTTGGCTTACAATTTTTTAACGATACTTTTTTGGTGAATTTTTTTTTGGCATATGCAACACATTTTTCGCAGAGATGCTTCGAATAGCAAGTAGTTTAATGGGGGCTAGGTGTTCTGAAATCTTTTGGAGACTGTTTCTTGCTCATTAGCTTTCTTGTGAGTACAAACATCTACAAATATAGCTAAATTTATAAAAATACGGTTACATTGGATGAATGCGGCCTCTCGAAAAGATAAAGCGATCATCAAAGTTACAAATTATTCAATTTCAATAGAATCATGGCAGTTTTACTATGGCTCAGCATTGCACAAATAATCCTCTTGTCTTTTTATTGTGTTCTTCAAAATCGATCGTTCTTAACTGGGCTTTAATTATTTTTCCTGGAAGAGGACTTTATCGGCTGTTTGTTTTGTTTTCTATTGCTTGATCTTATTTGTGTTTTTCAAAACCTATCGTTCTCACACAGAGAACAGTTATTTTTACTGAAAAAAATACTTTGTCGGTTGTTTGATTTGATATACATAACTGTAAGAGTAAGAGAAACAGTAGGAGTTATAGGCTATGTTTTGGCAGGGGGGGGGGGGGGGGGAGGGGGGGAATCTCGTATAAAAAGGACGGAGATGCTCGTCAGAAATTTTGAAAAGAACCCCTAAGAGGTACTAATATCCTGTTTTCTGGGCGTGGCTTGAATTGGTTTCACCCCTGAGAGGTACCAATTTTAAAACAACACATTAGCTGATACTTTCATACTTTTTAAAAAGCGATCAAGATTATTGCTTCGAACACCTTCTACTCGTAAAGTTGGTTGCTAAATTTCTCCTGTCATATTTTTTTCGGCGCAATACTCTAATAGCTAGGTACCAGGAATGCTCCTGCTGTGGCTGTGGACCTTTTGAGGCTGAGCACCCTAAGAGGTACGAAAACCGCTTTTCCGAGGACCACCGTCCTTTTATATGGAAGTCCCCCCAGGTGTGTATGCCGGTCGGAAAAACAAACTTTTTGTGTCTGATACTTGTTGGCTGTCGAGATCCAGCATTTCTTTCCTTATACAATTAATATCTCTGCTTACCTACAGACTGTTAATCCAAAAAAAAGAGACTCTGATAACGAATTAACAATTTTATTCTAAACGACATTGACTCTTACGCAAGCTACTGGTACGTGCCAACAATCGTTTTTCCTTGCACTGGTGTTGCTACGTTTTCGCTGCATATCTTGAAGAACTCGTTTCGGTATTTACTTCTGGACAAATATTCTTGGTGAAGTAAGCGTTCCCAAGTTTTAGTTATCGTGATTGAATTGTGGATAGTGTTGGGAGCATTTGTTGAAAGAGCAAAGATTGAACAGGAGAAGTCTAAATCAAGGCTTACAGGAAATAAACTGAAAGTGTATTTTCATAAGGACTTTAGTTTTTATAGGAATATGTTTCATAAGAATATCGAAGCTGAAATTCGTGAAATTTTAAGAATATTCTAGAATAAACCCGAGGCTAATATTTTGAAAAGAATATAATTTTGCGTGATGAAAACTTATACATACAACACAATTGTATGTTTTTAAGTAAACGGTATAAAATTCTTTGTTTCTCTTAACGGTAAAACCAGCCAAAAAGCAACAAAGGCAGCACTAGCCGTATGTTCGGTGCTAATAACATTTGTTCAAGAAGGTATGTGCGCAATATCAGGCTTTGCACAACACCATCCAGACAATAAATACATTCGAAAACAGAAAAGTCATACGCTGTAATCTAAGAATATTCACAAAAATATTTTCAGCCTAAAATCGGCAGAAAAATATGAATATTCAGCCTCGGCCGCAAAAACAATATTCTTATAAGAAAAAGAGTGTAAACCATCTGAATGAAATGGTCACATTTATATTTCGACGTTTATCCAGTTGAAGATCGCGCACAGAACTTCAACGTCCACAAAATCACATTTCGTGAACCAACATCTTGATTCTCGCTGGAAGGATATAATGCTCATGGCAAATGAAGTCTATTTAGCTTGGCAGATGGCATGTTTCAAGAGGGCATGTCGTGGACTTTGCGACCGTGCCATCCTTCGAGAAGATAAAATATATATATATTATATAAATAAAGAAAGAAAATTAACGAAATAGCACTTAAAACTGGTGCAAGTCTTCGCTAGTGCTCTTTCCAATGTTTGTTCGATTTACACACTCAAGGACAAAAGTGACGAAACTGGCAAATCGCAGACTGTTTTTAAAACCTATTGTATTTGTAACAAGCTTCTGTTTCCCTTCAAAGCGCTGTTTCAGCTAAATCATTTGCATTGTTTGAAGGTTTAAAGCCCAGTTCTGTGTATCTTTCTTGTGTTAAATCCTTTGATTTAGATTCATTGGTCAAGCTTCTGTTACTTCCTTGTAAGTCTCTGTTACTCCCTGAAGGCACGTTCCCGTTAAACAATGCGGCCTTGTAACCAGGAGGACCGATCTCTCTTGGCTTCAAGTACCCATCATCGTCTGTCTCTTCACTTGGCATAACAGGGTCGTTCCCAAGTTCCAAATATCCTTCGCGGCCCTGCGAGATTCAAAGAAAACGCTTGAATGAAATCATTCTGCCTAAACCCGGTCCAAACGAGGACGAAGGTTTACAAGATAACAAAAATGAAAATAACTATATATGTATTATAAATATGTAAATACACAGGCTTATTTTAGCGAGCGCGTGTTACTCGGGGGAGCGTCGTCTTGGATTCAGTAGAAAGGAGAGGTTTGAGGTAAGAGAGGAAAAGAGTGTCCTTAGGTAGGATTTTGGCGACGCCTCGAGCAAGAATATTGACCTCCCTCCAATCAAAAGCGCCTGCACTGCTGCCTAATGGAGCCATGGCTAGTATTTTGGCGGGACGCACTCGGCTTTATGTATAACAACAAGAGACTGCATCAGCATAATTTATCGTGAGGTACTGACCATGGCAGCAATGTTGGATTCGATCACGCGATCCAACCTCTGCACCAGGGTGGTAAAGTTCGGTCGGTCCACTGGCTTCTCCATCCAGCAGTCTATCATCATACAATACCTGTCAATCAAAGAAAAAAAAATAGACAAAATATAAAAGCTAAGAACAGAGCGATAGAGCGACCAAGCGACCAACAGGTTTCTAACCAAAATAAACACGCCATTAACCTATTAATCTGAGTAAGTAAACTTCAACAACAATACAGACCATTTGTTACTTTCAAGTTCCAAATTTAAAACCAAACAGCAACTAATCGCAAGCTTTGCAGAGCTTCGTCATTTTAAGTGGAATCCGGGGTAGGGGAAGGCGGGAAGAGGGCGGGGGGTGGAGGACTTAGCGCAAGAAGAGAAGAGTCTACAACAACTAACAAATTGAGTTCAAAGTACATACATTTCCTCGGGACAGTCCACTGGTCTTTCCATTCGATTTCCTTCTATGATGTATTGATAAATTTCAGTGGGCGGTATATTAGGATAAGGATTTCCACCTATGAAAGGGATAAAAAAAAATACACCACGAAGTTGCCACCTGAGTAACTGGGTAACATTTGGGTTGTCTGTGTCACATGCGATACCTGTGTTCACTAGTAACATGGTCAACTTGTGACACGTGGAAAATCTGTGTGGACGACTCACTTTGAAAAGATTGCATTGAAAGAAGCTGCTGTTCTGCTTAACAACTAATGTTATCTTGCAGTCAACAAAATAAACTTTGTAATGTTTGAAAAACAATGTTTCAACTAACATGTTGTCTTGACCCGACTGAATCTTACCGAGAGTGAACAATTCCCAAAGAAAAACTCCAAAGGACCATCTAAAAACCAAACACAAGAGATGTTTCAAGTTAAATATTAGCTATTATCTTTCGATACATTTTTTCTTCCTTTTCATTGGCTGAGAGACCACCACGTGGTCTGCATAGAACTACCTACAAATAATGGTCTGCTAATGCATAGCACCGTCTAAACGTATTTTGCTACAAACAATATATTCTACTCATGCGCATTTGTAACAGCGCTCTCGGATAAAAATTGGCAGATCGCTTCCCTAAGCTGTCAGAGAGTTACTCAATATGAAAACATACTTGGTGATCGAATGGTAAAACAATTATTGAGCTCGGTCATCACAAAAACCTTCGGTTTAGGCAAATAATTCATCTGTTCGGCCTCGTCCAATAATTGATAAATATCGGTGTGCATTTTCCGCAGTGTAGTAGCTCAGCATAGAGAGCTTCTTTAATTTCTCGAGCTAAAATAAACACTGTCGTTGCAATTCGTTGATTGTGATTCTTTTTGATTGCACGTGTTTAATATGTTTTGTTCTTCCTGCTTAAATCTCAGCATAGCTGTCATGGCTTTTTTTCTAATATCAGTGCATTATATCAATCATTGTTCAAGGCACGCGCACAGCAATCAGTGAAAAGAAAAAATTCAAGTTCTTACACGTCACTCTGCTCGGAATAGACACGGTCAGTGAGAGATTCTATTGCCATCCATTTAACTGGTACCAGGCCCTGCGAGAGAAATCGAACCAGAAGATTCTTTAATTCAATGTCATTACCTGTGTTCCTGAAATAGCATGGCCATTCATTAAGGGGAAATATCGGCCGAGGATTTCTTTCCTGGGTTGTCCAAAGGCTGGATAACGCTATCCTCCAGATTAATCGTTATCCAGTGGATAAGTGTTGGCAGAACAAACCACGCTATCCACTGGATAGTGATTTATCAACTGGGTAGCATTATACACCCTTTGAACAACTGGGGCCTGAAGTCTACTTGTAACTTTATAGACCAAGCAATCAATAACGTCATTACAATAGCTCTGCTGTTGGCAAACGTGAGCACCAAAGTGACGAAAAAGCTTGGAATTTTTTTATATCAAATTGAAAAACGTGCACTCAATAAAAGAAAAATACGTTTCTACTATGGAGAACAGAATGAAATGTCAGTTAACTCACCGGTGAGACCTTGATGTACGTGTCGTCTTTGTAAACATCTCTTGCCAGTCCAAAGTCAGCCACTTTTACCACATAGTTTTCTCCCACGAGAACATTTCTGGCTGCGAGGTCTCTGTGAACACACTATAATATACAACAACGGTCAAAAAACCCTGGCTTACTCTCAGTACTTTATCAAAGTCCTTCTCGTTTGTTAGTAGTCCTGGCGCAAAGGACGAGTCTATGCTCCTCTACCCGCTCTCGTCGCAGACATTTTTCCTGCTCTTAGCTCAGCTTTAGTTTCTCGACTAAGACAAGTCTATTCCCGCAGGTGCTACGTCACGTCAAGATTTGCGCTTCTTGAAAAGTTTAGAGCCCAAAGTGTTTTTTTTTTCGTTTCCATCCCTGAGCATCCTTGTTCCTTTATGCTTTATTATGATCTCTGTAGTGTTTTTCAATCTCAGTAAACCACTATTCTTAGGTTTCCGTTCATTTCAAAGTATTTTCTTCCATGGCCAAAATCATTCAAAATGCGTAACTGAGCTCCTTTAAGACCCACATGGCGTTTCTCAAACACCACTAAGAAATAATGTTTAAGTTTTTTTTTCACTCTCCTACCTTTCTAGACGCAAGAAATTCCATGGCCCTCGCAACTTGAAAAGCTGCGCTCACCACATCAGTTATGCTGAACTGTTTATCAGGGTCCTCGGTAGGCGGAAGCCATGTTGGATTGTAAATTTCTCTCTTGTTCCTTAAAAACTGTAACATGTTTCCATGAGGGCAGTACTCAATAATTACACAAATATCACAGTATCGGCCTAGGAAAACACAGTTGAAAACATATTAGATTGAGTAAAGAAGAAATGTTTTAAAAAGCGTTTCAAAAGGAGAGAAAGTAAGGACTTAGGCCAAAGTCAAACGTGAAACTTCACATGACGAACTAAGTTACAATATGAGTCGATCCAAACGGATAAAGCTCGAAGTTAGATCGACCAACACGTTTTATCCGTCTTCTTTATACGTGAAGTTCGACGTTTGACCTGGGCCTTGCCAGTTTGAGAAGCTTTACTTGGCCGATCATTCTCGAAATTGAAGTCAAACTCAACAAAAAGCGGCTTTCTCAGTTTTGAAAGAAGTAGTTTTATTAACTCCACAGAATTTGTCCTTCTATTTCCCGTAAACTGTCGGAGTGATGCATATATGTGACATCGTTGTTGGAGTAGATTCTTTTTGAACAGCGGTTCTTACCCTTTGTGCAGGCGGCTAGCAAGTTGACGATGTTCTTGTGTGATCCAATGTGTATCAATATTTTGAGTTCAGATATTAAGTCTTTGCGTTCTGATTCTTCCGCTCTCTCTGTTTAACAAAATAAATAAATAAAATAAAATAAATCAAGAAAATAAGCAACGGAAAGTAAAACTGAGTCGTTAAGACTTTTACTCTCTTGTTTAACCGCTGATTATAAATCCTGTGTGTGCTAATTTTATCAATACCTGCTTCGTCCCCAGACTTCACTCCTTGAGCCCGGGTCGACCTCGTTGCGCATTGGGTCGTAGGACTTAAAGAGATCTTTGACGATCAAATGCGAACAAGCCAATAGAATTTGAAGTTAGTAAATTTTTTTATTCATGGGTCGACGAGAATTGTCGTTCGTTTGACAAGCAGATGTTGTTAAATCTCGCGAAACCAGCTAATCTGAAAGTCCATGATAGTCCACGAAGATTGAAGTAATATCTCATCTTTTCCCCGGCACAACTCGCGTCGATTCTAGACCAACATGTATTTCCCTCAATAGCCGAGGTCACCTGACGGGAAGACGTCGAAAAAATAATGGCGTTCATTGATCATAAGAGAACTTACTTACACCCTTGCACAACAACTTTTGTCAGAGGAAAGGTAAAAGACAACAGTAAAAACAAACAGACCTTTAGAACTTTACTGACGCTACCGTCACCACCGTTCTAAGGACCTGCCTCGTTTCATAGTGTTAATTCATAGCCTCTGGAACTTCAGGAAAACTTGCATTGCATAACACCATAAAAAATCTTTAGTTTACCTTTTAGTGTTTTCACGGCTACTTTAATTGGTCCCTGGGATATGATGGAGCCTCTCCGCGAGTCTCGGGTTGTCGATAATCGATGTCTTGAGGTTTTTGCCGATATGTTGTCACTAATGATACTTCCTTCAGCTTCAGCTAAGTACACTTCGCCAAACGCACCACAGCCAAGCACTTTACCTGATATAAAATTACAGAAAAAACAGCTGATGCATCAATGGACTATTGAAAAAGGTTTAGCAACATAGATGCGATTCAAGACAAAGGCGCTTTCCCATGACCCAGAATGGTGTTTTCGCGACATAGCTTTACAGTGACAAATTTTATAAAGCATGTCAGTATGTATTGTGAAAGCAACTAACAAAGATTTTTCTCCACATTTCGCTTAAAGCACGGCGTGAGGAGGCTCGATCGGAAACAAATCGCTCAAGAAGGGTCCAGATAAACCCGCGCAAAGATGACTCTCGACTGTGCTAGAGAATAGGTTAGGGGGAGGGCAGAGAATATATCGGGGAAGGGGACGGACAGGAAATCCTGTATAATTCTCCAATGCAGAGTTATCTTGCAGGTTATTATTATTAGTAATTAAATGAATGCGCGCGTAAACTCATGGAAATTTCGCGTGTCTTCTGAATTATTATATAAAAGAAATAAACCACAAGTTTCTATGGTTTAGAGGCATGATAAACCACTTGGGATGTTGGTAGAACACTCGAAGAATTCGTAAATCACGAGCCTGCTGCTCGTGATTTACGAATTCTTCTCGTGTTCTTCCAATATCCCGCGTGGTTTATCAGCCTATAAACCATAAAAACATGTGATCTATTGCTTAATTATTCCATGAATAATTAAGGAAATTAATTCCCGCCGCACTCACAAGCAAAAACCGAAACTTACCAAAGTGGAGCTGTTCTCGAGGAAACTCCCACCGCTTATCATACGGCAGCTTGTTTACTTGTTCGATGAGAGGAATGGAAGAATCCAGCCTTGGTATCATGTCTGGCAGAGGAGGAGTGGTGCAGATATAGAGACCTCCATACAGCTGACGTCGGCGATACAAAATGGCGGCGATTAACAGGAGCAAAAGGAGGAGAGCCACACTGACGACAATGGCCACTATCAATGAGACTTTGGATGTTGGTCCCGGGCCCTTCGCGGCTCCAACTGGTGCTGGTTTAACTATGGAAAGCCAAGATGAACACATATGACACTGTCACAATAGTCAAAAAGAGACGTTTAGTAGCTTATGATTGATCATTTTCTCATTTGTTAAGTAAGGTGAGAATATTTTTCCTCTTTACCGTTTAAATCGAAAGGAATTAGTTTCCTGGTTGTCGTTCACTATGAATACAAAACGTGTAATTAGTTTCCAGCAGTGTTTAAACGTTTTCGAAAATCATGCCGGATATAATACATGCCAGTAATTCTTGTGTACTTCCCTCTCAGGGCCCTTCTCAGGGGCCATTTGGCCAGTGCAGCTGAAGGTTGTCTCAGTTTCCTTAGCATGACAAAGCTAGAGGTATTTCTACTTCCTTAGGGTGGGATGCTAGTCCATTGCAGGGCTACCCCCATGATGTCAGTTGACAGGACGCTATAGAGCGTCGCTGTATCATTATTTTTGTACTTTTGTGTAGAGGGGTACTGTGGCCGTGTGTCTTGCCCACAAGTACAACACAGCGACATCGCCCAGGGCTCAAATCCGAAACTCGTTAATCCACCATGACAAAACCTAAAACTCCGTATCCTTAAATACAGTTGTACTTACCAAGAGATAAAACCACGGAATCACTACCAAACTTGTTTTCCGCTAAGCACATGTAGTCCCCGTAGTGTTCTTCTAGCAGAGAATTGATTCGAAGGGTGTGGTTCTTTCCGTGCAATTGCGTGACTGGTACATGATGACCGTCCGCAGTTTTCCTGACCCAGTTGACTGAGGGAGTGGGATTGCCTGTTGCTTTACAGCTTACGTTAACTTTCTCGCCAAGCCCCTTGGGCAGTTTGTGATCCACCATGTTGAAAATGTTCGGCTGAGCTGGGAAAAGAAAGGAAAGAACGCTGTGTTTGAGGTGATTTGGTGATATAGCCGAATGACTCTAAGTAATGGTTTGAAGGGCAAAAAGTATTAGTAAGTTGAGATCATAGAGAAGTGAAGTCGAATGAACAAGTGTGTGTTGAGGGCAAATTTATGTCTTTAATACAAACAACCAACTTGAAGATGCCCCATGTGTAACGCAACACCGTTCAATTTCAAAATAATGCAGGTTTACTAACCTAAAACATTTAAAAACGCTTCACTAGAAGCGATTCCTTTGCTATTCTTAGCTTCACACTTGTAAACGCCCGTGTTCTCTGCGTGACTTGGTTTACATATTACCAGGTCTTTGGCAAAAGGCGGTCGATGTTTCTCCTTGTAATGAAAGCCATTTATTCTACAGTCATCCGCAGACCGAAGAGCAAGCAGGCTCAACTTTTTGTCATCTTTATACCACGTGATGTTTGGTGCTGGATACCCGGATGAGATGAAGCATGTCAAGGTCGTGCTGTTCGTTTTTTCCTCTTGAATTGTTTGGTTTGAGAGAGAAACAACAGGAACAACAAACTCTGTAGTGCAAAGAGAAGAAAAGACTATTATAGTTGTTCTGAAACATTTTAAAATTGACTGTACTAATCTAAGGCAGGTTGCCACCCAGAATCTCTGAATGATCAGTCCAAGCTCTATTCAAACACCTGGGCAATGATAAACACTTATGTAAAGTAAAGTGTCAAGCTTAAAGACATAAAATGAGGTTGGAGACCAGTTCTTTTGCCAAGGTGTCAACTCCACAAGGGGTTTGTTCCCTACAGGACGAAAGTCCTCGACTGACGGACCATCGTTACTAACGACAGGTACCTCTCGTGTGTGCCAATCATATTGTACAAGTGAGGTGACACTGAGCGCTCTTACCTGTAACATTAACTGTTATCACCGAGATCTTTGTCTCGTTTGCTGTCCAACCATAACCATAACACACGTATTCGTCAGCATCTTCTAACTGCGCGTGTTCAATAGTTAAAGCACTCGTGATATTATGTTTGTTTCTTGTTAGTGTGGTCGGTAGTTCCTGGGGTCTACTTCTTCTTTGCCACGCGAGATGCAGGAAGTCCCCGGTACTCGCTTGGCATAGGACTGTAAATCGGCTTCCTTCATCCACACGTTGGATCGGAGAGGAGGGAATGATTTCCGGTAAAACAGTCTCAATATCTACAAGTTAAACAGGACAGTCTAGCGGTAAATCTTTAACAAGCCTAGTAGCTCATAGCTACCGGGACTGAATCTAGTATTGCTCCTCCCACTGGACAGGCTACTAGTCCATTGCAGGTCATCCCAAAGCATTTTTTAAGGTGTCCTTACATTGTGCTGGAGTCATTTATAAAGCTGGTTGGAATGATAAGGCCTTGCATTATTAGAGTAAGATGGGACCATAGTAGGAAGCCTAAGCAAACCAAAGAGGCAACGGCAACGAGAACGTCGCCAAAAAAGATTTAATGAGGAAATCAAAGGCTCTGCACCTGAAATATAAATGCTACATTTTCTTAGCCATCCTCTGCAAAACAACAACCTTAAATTTCTAATTACACCTTGTTTTCGAGAACGTGGGTACAATTTGGTTCTCAGTTTGGTAGTTACACTGAACAGATCTACATTCTTGAGTAAAATGTCCTTGTCCTTGTCGATGTCCTCGCTGTCGCCGTCGTCATTGCTTACGCTCCCAAATTTGTTGAGCGTTGCATGATTTAAAATTGCTATCAAAAACAGTCTTATTATGTAAGTAATAAGCTACTTTCCCACAATCGATAGCAACTTAGGTCTTACCCATTCTGTGAACCGAAAATACTACATCATCGTGTCCAAGAGAATTCTCGGCGATGCATCGGAAGAAGTACCCTTTTCTTCCAGGGGGTAGGTACAGACTGCTGATTCGTGAAGGAACTTGCTCCGAAGGATCGATCACGTGACGTGGAACACGTCCCCATCTTTTCGCGTCTGGTTTGCATCCTGACGTGCAAATTGTGATTTGCTGTTGAAACCACTTGAAGTGAGGTATCGGGTGGCCTCGTAAAGCTGTAGACTGGATCATGGTGGCATCTTGAAAGGACAGCACACGAAAATCTGTGTCGTTTTTCTTGTTGAGTACTGGCTTTTCTGAGGATTAATAACAACATCAGTCGTTTGCAAAACAATGAAACAAGGGGATTTTCTTCTCGAAGCCTGCGAGGCAGGCGTGGAAAGATGAGAGAGAAGGAGATTTGGGCGAGGAAACCATCCCGAGGAAAAGAGCTCCAAGAAACACCCTCTCCACCAGTACCATTTACGCTTCGAAGTCCCTCCTCGAGATTTGCGTTATTTTCTCCCTCTTCTTCCTCTTGCTCTGCATGTTATGCAGGTATTAGCGTTACTAGGTACACCGGCAAAAGGTCAGAAAAGAGGAGCTCTTACACAGATTACGTTCGCGGAGGAATTTGCCGCTATCTTGGGACTAACATGATCAACAATCCCTACGAAGACTGAACTTTGGATGCTTGGAAGCACTCACTATGTTCGTTCTACTGGAACGAGAACTATTCCCCCTAAACAGTTGCTTTATTCATTTAGGGGACCAATTATTTCAATCTGATAGTAGACTCAACGTTTAAAAGTCTTGATGCTTTTTTTGGCGCGCGAAAATTATCCGTGAAAAATTAAAAACCCCGTGAAATTGTGCACACTAGCTAGCAATACTTACCGTAGATATCCAAATGGACGGTTTTGTTATCCATCCCAACAGTATTGACAGCAACGCAGGTGAATTCTCCGGTATCAAATGGGTGAAAAACATTCTTAATCAGCAACTCGGCTCCAGACCCTCTCCAGGAAATGCTATACTTTTTTTGGTATTGGTCCAGGAGGCACGTTTTGTTTTGTTTCAGCTCGCCCTTACACCTTCCAACACTAACGCCATTTTTGAACCACTGAACGTCTGCAAATGGAGGTTTGCCTTCCGTTTCGCAAAAGAGCTTTACGTTTTGAGAGGCGTTCACGGATGCCTTGGTTGTGAAGTTGATGATCTTCGGGGGCTTGTTATCTGGAAAAATAAATATGGGTTATTGACAAAGCGTGAGGACGTGTTAATGAGCGAGACGGAGTCGAGGTCCATAAACACACATAAAAGGAACAAGGATCTTGACCGAACTAGCTTGGTCAATAAAGGATTTATTTTATGAAAAAGAACACTATTTTCTTGCGGGAAACAGCGGGTAATCCTGAGCGGGCAAGATAACTCTATCTCGCCCACTCGGGTAGGCAATCAAAGCGCAAGATTCGGTTCATCTTGCCCGCTACGAAGCAAGTCATATGATAACGAGGTAAACTCATTAAGAAACGACAACTAGAAGGAAGTCATGAGAAGAAAGTTAACTTCCCAAATTGATTCTAAACATGAACTTCAATTTTGGATGTGGTCCATAGTTTAATTTTGAATTACGTCCACGAAGACAGCACCATAAAATGCCGCTAGTATGCCTCATGCCACCCCACGATTATAAGTCCCCTAGTTATAGGCCCCCTAGCTAGCACTTACCTGGAAAAGTTAGGACAGCAGCCAGAATTTTCTGGGAGTTCGCTGCCAGGCAATAATATCTCCCTTCGTCGTTCTGCCTTCCCTGAGTTATTGTAAAAGTATTTCCTTGGCGAATGATAGCTACGCCATCAGCTGCTCTTTGAATAAAAGTCCCTGGAGTAGTTTCTTGCCATAAATTTATCTCAAAGTCAGCTTGAAACATGCGGCAGACGATATCAACTGGCTGATATGGCGCTATTTCAGTCACTAATGGATCTACCTGTGTTGTTGGTAAATAAGGTGTTGTAGTGGATGGTATAGAAGTCTGCACCGGAGCCGACGAGTCTAAACGAGTATCAGAACAAAAGAAGCTACCTTCACTGTAGGGAGATACAAAGCTATCCTCAAAGTAACTTTAAACCAATCCAGTTGCGTCCCATGGTATCAGGTTCAGTTAAGGAGGTTGTGGATGGTTTGTTATACATTACTTGTAAAACTTTCGAACGATTTTAATTTCGGGCAAAAGAGTGACCGAAAATAAAACCGTCCGAAATATTTCCAGTACAACAACAACAACAATTTATTGGTATTCCCATATATATGGATGGTATTACGTTAAATAACATTATATAGAATATATAAAAAGAAAGAATTTAAAAATAACAATACCACTAATCACATTAAATTAAATAGGATAACAAGTTTCTCTTATATGCACAGTATAAAACTTTGAAATAGCTCCAAAGCTCTTAGTTTCCTTTATGCAGGGCTTTATGGAGCGGACTCTAGTTGAGACACTGCTTGACATACGTAGCGGCTTGATAGAATTTGTGCTAATTTGTTGTCGGTCATATATTCATAAAACCTTGAAGGTGCAGTAAAACTATATTATCTTTTGATGTTGTTTCAGTCTTATTCGTGTTTTGTAGGCGTAAATTCACTTTAGCTATGTTTCAGCAGTGTCCGAAATTTGTCCGAAATGAGATAAAAAGTGTCCGAAAATTAAACGTGCGAAATTGTTTTGCAAGCAATGGCAATGTAGGTAGAAAAGGAGATGGGCGCTTAGTTTAAATCCTAAATCAGNCATCCATCGTCAGTTGTACAGTGAGAAATAAAATGAAAATATGCAATAAATAGTGTAACAAAGTGAGATATTAACAAGAATAATTAAGGATGAAGGCACGAACCAAAAAAACGTCGTGTGGGTTCATCAAAGCGATATCTTACTTCGTGCTACTACGAAGCCTTAGTAATAATAATAATAATAATAGTAATAATAATAATAATAATGATAATGACAATAAAAATAAAAATAAAATACAGAATAGGGGGAATTGAGGGATGAGTGGAAGGGGAGAAGTTAATTAGATCGTTAACGGTAAATATGCACCTTTCAATAGGACGGTTGCTGTTTTCAGCCAATATCCGCGGCCAAAATCCGTAGCTCTACACTCATAGTCTCCTGCATCAGACTCGCTGGCATTTTTAAGCATGAGCACACTACCATAAGCTGAAGAGAAGATAAGGTTCTCAGACACAGGTTCTTTGTTCTTGAACCAAGCGATGTCGTGTCTTTCTCCACCAGAAACTGAACATGTGATGTTTAAACTTTCGCCTTCTTCAACGACTGACAATTGCTGTGATACTTCTGGTATAGGTGGTGTTCCTAGAAGAACAAAAGAATCCTAGAGTCCTATTTTGTCTTCATATGTGTTTGTTTCTGAAGCTTGCCAGCTTTATTTTTCACTGTATGCTGTTTAATTACCCCTTTGTGTCCGTTGTGTTGAATGATACCGGGTGAGCTTTTGCTTTTGTCCAGGCGACATTAGTCTCAAAAAATGCTGTCGTCTGTGTGATTGACGTTTCGACAGCCTGACTGGTACATGCGGTACCAAGAGAGAAAGAAGACTTAGATAGACAATGCCTCATATAGGACTTATTAAAACAAAAAACAAAACAAAAAGACTTTATTTAACGAGGGTAACATAATTTACTGGTTGTCCAGTAGTTTACAATATGGCCCTCCCTAATTTTACATAAAATCATTTACATATTATATACTTATGAATAGTGATTAAAATTTAAATTTTCGAGGTAATCCCTCCCAAATTATTATTAGATAAGGTGGAGAGGGAAAACATGTGTCAAGCTGCTTCGGATGTCCACGTGAGCAAGGTTTGCCTTACAGGATTGGCTACTTCTAGACTCGCCTGGGATTTTTGAAGCCAGAAGTGTTCAAAAAATAACTTGAGGATTGCTATTGGAATAAGGCTTATACGGCCCTTCATCTTCACTTAGAGATGATACCTTTTGAGGCTATAACGCGAACCTGGTAACAATTTTCTTTACATTTCTAAAAAATACGAGTTATCTTTTACTGGGTTTGTTGGTATAACCCTAATATCGAGTGCTGAACGGCATTTCGTGAGTGGGAAGCGCGGTGGCTCATGAAGTGTTCATGGGTTTGATTCTGGATCGAGCGCTTGTCGCGGCCACTGTGCTGCAAAATCTCTTCCGCAAGACCCGTTACTCTCAGAGTACCTCTACCCATCCAGGAGCGTATATGAGTTCTGGCAGACTGTTAAGGCAAGAAGACTTAATGCTGGGGCCAAGCAATCCACCCAAGGAGCTAGAAACAATCCTTTGAACAACCTAGCTTTCGTGTCTGCACACTTTAAACAATTTATGTCGACAGGAAATGTTTGGTACCTTTTGGTGGAACTGGTAAAAGGTTCCCAAGATCGACATCTTCCTGAGCCTGGTTACAAGACGAGATGACTTTACAGACAACCCTGCCCCTCATGCTGCGATCCATTCCATGGATGGTCACGATTCTTCCAGTCAAAGTGACCCTGTGGCCATCAGGTATCAGCTGGTTTATGCCGTCCATGCGAATTATCTCCAGGAAAATCAACGGTTGAAATATGTTAGGAGCTCCACAGTTCAGATCCAAAGAACTTCCAAACGATACAAATAAGTTTCTGTATCCCTGGTAAATGGCCGATGATGGAGCTAGGAGGAAGCAAACCCTAATGAGCTGATTGTTACTTTCCGTCAAACCAAAGGTTCCAACTTGAGTATTTAAGAAATGTTACAACCACCAAGCATAAGTAGGTAAGACACTCAAATTCTCAGTAAACTAATGACGTTGTTTTAGTCTTTAGGGCCTTTTAGTAAATGAAGATAATGATACTCTTGCCACCATTTTGCCAGAGGGAAGTTATAGTGACATGTTGTGGAGAAGTTTTAATTAGATGCTGACAATTGAGGATTACGTTTAACAGAGGGAAGGAATACCTCATAGGCGTCTAGCTTTAATTTTGTCCGTCTTGTCGCTTTCTCTCGACGGACGCAGACTTTCTCGGTAGGAGATTGCTAAGTTAATGCAAACAGCCGCGCCTTATTTCAACAATTTTTAGAATACGTGCAGAATCCCAAGAATTTTCGTAAATTTGTCAGTGACATCACAATATTATTCCACGTGATAAGTTGCATGGTCAGCACTCGCACATCCGAGTAAGCATGGGGCATCTCTTCAGGTTTAAATCAATGGACTCGTAAACGTCGCGTGATACTTTGGCGACAAATTAGTTCCCTGCCTATCTATTTTAGCACGACCGAACCATACAGTCGCTCTTCGACTGTATGGATTGCTCACAGTCTGTTGGAATGAAGGAGTTCCATCATGCCTTTGTCTCCTACTTTCTTTCCAACTGGACAATGTTTTCTTTCCTTAGTCATATGTAGTATTGACAATGTACAACTATAGAACAGCTGTTTATCTTTCTATGTTAATCAAAAGTATATATATACCCCTAGTTGCCAACCTCGTTCCCAGGGCCTTTTTCCTGGCTTGGGGGTTGCCTAGTTGCCCCACCCGTTAAGCAACTTTTCCCCGCCCACGAAGGGGTGCATATCTAACTTTACCTGGCTGGACTTTTAAGTAGGCTTCTTCCTTCCGTCTTATCTTGAGATGGGGTGCCTCGCAATAATAGATACCAAAGTCTTTAAAATTCACGGCGTGGATAACAAAGGTCTGACCATAGCGGCTGACTCTGCATCCATCCGTGAATCGTTCACGCGTTCCGCCAGAAACAACCTTCTGTTTCAGCTTGACTCGCACACTAGGGTCGCTGATGTTACAATTCAATGTCACGGACTCTCCGACGGTTTTTCTTATCAGTCGCAGCGAGTGATAAGTTGACGTCCATTTTACGACTGGTGCTGAAACGTTAAAGATAATCAGTGCTCACCGATTTGCCCAAAAAATCCGTATATATTTGTTGAATGTCAGATGGGTCAGTCATTTTCGGGAAGATCTGTTCAGAATAGTTAACAGTTAGCCGGCGCCATCTCGTTCGGTTGTTTATTGATTTTGGAGAAACCTGATCATTATTCAACGGATATTCCATCTGGCTTAGTCTGACAAATGGTATGCACCAATTCATATGTGCTGGCTGACAATCTTTTCCCTTTTATCGTAACTCACTGGTTCAGTTTCTACCAGAAGACGTTTTGGAAGACAGGAGAACTGATTTGAAAATAGAAATTAAGGCTTGCAGTTTATAGCAATAGTACCTCCCCTTTTGGCCAGAAAAGGAGGGGCGGCAGATAAAAGAAGAATGTTGCCCTGTTTCTTGAAACATACATCACTGCTGTTCAGTTTCTATAACTTAATGAAAGTTGTAATAATAATCATGCACATGGTACTGCTGAGGACCCTCGTGATAAAAATCCCTCACCATAACTGAGCTTTTGATTTGTAAAATCTTAAAATTACAATCCTTTTCAAGGCAAGGTGGCACACTGAATTTTTCTATCTTGTAATGAGCATGTACTTTGATGGCAGAATTATCCCATAACTCTGCCCTGCATGTATGGAAACGTACAAGAGAAAGTCACCTCGTGTGTGTGTCTATGTCCATCTGTGAAGTAACCTGTAACATTCCGTTTCAATGAAGATTTTACCTGGTTTATCACAAGCTTTCCTGTCGTCTCTCCACACCAGTCCCTTTGAGCAATTCATCCTGGTACTTATGCCACCCAAACAAACGAGATACCCCGTGGCTCTTTCCGGGTCGACAAAAGTGCCGTCAAGTTCCGGGCATTCGGTTTTGTCTGGAAAAGATCACCGGGAAAACTTAAAAAAATTCCATCCTTCGAGTCATAGAGTCTTTCAAACAATGCAGCTCACTCTTAAGCCCAGCAAAAATATTGCAAAATATTGCATAGTTTCAAGAGAGGATGTAGAGTAGAGAGTCAATCTCCCATTTAGGTCTTCTTTGCTATGTAATCCCTCTAAAATTATTTCTAAAGATGGTGCCCAGTTCTTCCGGGGACAATGTTACGACGCAAGTTGCGTGGACGTTTTCGTGGAGAATGACAGTGCGTGTAAAGCCGTGTGGGCTGACCACGTGAGCAGAATCCACGTCACTTGATTGGCTCTTTCTAAACCCCACTGGAATTTCCATACTGGTGGGTGTGATGTAAAAATAACTAGAGAGGAATTAGCTTGGAAATAAGGTCTACATGGGGGATAAACTCTCCTACCCTTAGTTCACTCTTATTACTTGTTATTTCTTTCTCTTACTTATCACGTTCAGTTTGACAGCAGTTGACCAAAACCCGAAGGCTTCGTTAGTCTCAAACACGCGACACTCGTACCATCCAGCCTGGTTTATCTGGACATTTTTCAACACGAGAGTGTTGATCCATGTTTCGCCATTGAGGTTCAGTTCTTTGATGACTGCCTGCTGTTGCATGGACAGTGGCCGAGCTCTTTTGTACCATTGAACATACGAGATTCTTGTGCCTGTAGCTTTACATGTGAGATTGACATCTCTACTGACAAGAATATGTTTTTGCCCTGCATCCACCGCTGGTTTCGGGGGATCTAAAACCAAAATGCAATAACAAGGAATAAACACGTTTGGGCAGCAGTACAATCAGCCACATTTTCTCGATAGTTTCAAAACAATATATTGTGTTTTGGTTATCGTTATCGCTGCATATTTTTCATTACGAGGAAAAATGGACATGACCCTGAATTCTTACATCTCTCAAAGATGAAACGATTTTCTTTCCCGAAAACCATAATATAAACCAGTAAGAGAACTACAAATAAGCATGGCGTGGGATATTATACATTTTACATCTAATCAAAAAATAGCTAGTTTTGTTTTCCTGAGAATATAAATGTTTCGTTCGCCTTCGTCTCGGGAAACATTGAGATTCGAGAGAAAACAAAACTAGCTGTTTCCCAAAGAATCAGTGTTTAAGTGTTTTGTTCTATAGCTAGAGTTTAGTGCTAAGTCACAAGTCAAGCCGGTAAAAGTAAGCTATGGCTAGTAGGAGAGCGGGCTAGCAGTTGCTTGATTGTTGCCTGCCGGGCAACATTTAGATTTTGCAATTGCCATGTGACCATAAATCAACCAATAGGAGCGCGCTTTATATTCAACTGAACCCCAGCTATGTAACAACTGCTATTGTTTCTCGTGTTATTAGTTATTATCGAATAGAGCTGGATAACGAAAGGCTTTCCTCGTTACCTTTGGGACTTGATTTAAGGTAGATCATTCCAATATTTTGTGAAAATCTTCGCTTTCTTGCCCTGCATATGTACGTGCCCTGCATGTTGTTGCTGACGTTGTGAAGAGTAAATAACTGTCCGTAGTTTACCAAGTTCTTCCTCGGGGTGAACATTCCCCCAAACCTTAACATCTGCCACAATCTCACGGCCACTGATGGGTCATTGAGTTCACAGCTGAGATCGACGGAAGAGCCTTCAGGGACTATACGAACAAAGCTCATGTTTCCAATGTACTTCAGGGCTCCACCTAGCCTCAACCAAATGAATGGATGAAGGAATTTAGAGTTCTTACAGACTTAACAAGTGAAGAAGCTTAAGTCATCTTAACACCAAAAATATTTGAGAAAATGGCATTTTGCAAACGTTCTTAAACGAACGCAGTGTTTTTTGACCGTGTAATACTGGGTTTTGGTCTTTTACAGGCCTCATGATATAGGTTAACGCACGAAGATTAATACACGGTTCTTTGTATTTTGCGGTAAAACACATGTTCATGTTAGTCAGAATGCACGTAGAATTCAACGTGTACTAGAGAATTATGGAGAATTAAAGTTTGAGATTGAGGCCAAAAACTTGCATACTTAATTGTGAAGTCTCCGCGGGTTTAATTTTTGCCAAGAAGGAACAGTCATCAGTATTAAAATTCAACCAAAAAACGTTGTTTTTAGAAATCTGTTTTTGGATTGTAGATCAATCTGCATGGGTAAAACTAAAAGCAACTAAAGTAATAATCCATTGATAAGTGTAATTTTTTGGAGAATGAGACTATGCTGTATGGAAAGAATGAACGAATGCATGAAAAATATTTTCGTTTTTGACCAAGGAACATGAAGGATAGGCCGCACTGCAAAAAAAAACGAAAACAAAACAAAACAAAACAAAACAAAACAAAGAAACAACAACAACAATAACAACAACAACAACAATCAGTAGAATCTGGTTAATTGGTAAAAAAACAGTATATTTTATGTCGCTATTTATACGTTCAGTCAATGAAAGATGTGTGACAAAGGGGTTTAAATAAAATGTAAGTAATCTCCTAGATATCTGGTTCTGCGCGGTAGAGGCTGATACCCTAACTAATTTGCACTGAGATGACAATAAAAGTTATTCTAGTTATGCAATCAAACGTTTTCAGTTAATATTCGTGATGTAGATTTTACATAGGGTCATACTGAGCAAAGGTAATGAACAAATGTTCTGACCAGATAACGACAAGATAAACAAAAAAAGCTCAACGCTGAAGACTGAAGAAAGCAATGATCCTGGCAACGGTCGTCGCTTTAATTTACAAAACCTTTCTAAGGCCCTGTTTCAAACATGTGGCCCGTGTTACAAGCGTTTGCAATTGGAAAAAACCTTGAACAGGTAGAGTATTCCGACCGCAACTGAATGCGAAACCGTGCCTCTCAAAACAGTGTTTTTCTTGGCCTTACTTCGAAATTACTTTTTTCGGATGAAAAGGTGAAAGGTGATTAAGCTGATAAAAACATAGTATCTATTACGTGCAACACAATATGTTTTTCTTCTGTGAGATTCGACAGAGAGGGAATTACAGTTTCGGTTAATGACTGAATCATTAAGTTCAGTAGACTGAATTTCAACCATGTATTCGATTCGCAGACTTTTTGGGAGAGCTTGTATCGAAGAGTTGGCCAAAATTCAGGCTACACGGTTCACTGAGTGTAGGAAGGATTTACGTCTTAAACTATTATCAATAACACAAAGTGTTCAAAAAAGCCACCTAGAAATGAATTCTTAACATAATACTTCTTAAACTGTTATGTCTGTTAAAGGGAAGTCCACCTTGAAATTACGGAAGAAAAGGTCAGCCAAACTTTGTTTCCATATCCGCACCGAAATAACAGGGTCTCTTACAGTTGGGACGACGGAAATACGTGGTTAAGAACCTTTGTCTGTTACACATAAACGTGCAAACATTTAGCGTGTTAGACGTTAGCTTAACATGGTCTAGACATCACTACATCTAAAAACACACATTATTCCTCTAGTGACATGGAAGGTCATGCAAAACTCGAAACCGTTAGTCTTAAATGGCTTTAACGCTTTTCAACTCATTTTCCTATTATTATCACCGGCTTTCTAATCTAAACTGACTACATTCCTTTTTTGTTTGATCTAGATACCTGGGATCAGATTCGTTCTATGATCATAGTACCCATTTGTTAGGTCAATAGATCGAAATGACTGAAAAGGCTAAACTAATTTGCAACATGAGAATTTGACGATCAGAATCGAAAAAAAAGAACTTTCAAAGATGACACAATCGTGATAATTCTCTCCACGTCTTTGACTAGTTTTAATTAATCAATGATTGCTTTTTTCGCATCTTCTTTGAAAAGACGCAGTTTTATTCCTCGCCGCATGGATCACTGACCGGGTCAGTTAGAGAGTAAAGGCATACGCAGAAGGCTTGACAAAAATCAATTAAGCTCTAACAAGCCCTTATTTACTCCTACAGAAACAGACAGTTAGTCTGTTACAGATCACAGTTCAACAATGGAATAAAGCGACAAAAGCTCACTACTTACCTTGGGCAGAAACGTCTGAAATGTTCCATGCCGCTAACGTCAACAAGACACGAACGACGCCAGCCAATATCCACCGTACGCTAACATCCTTTTGTTGTGTAAGACTTGCCATGTTTAAGCAGATAGCTTGAATCTAAGAAACACGTTCACATTAATACCACACCAACTGAGTAAATCGTCAGCGACGAGTTAAACGTTGAAAGATCAAGACATTCCTGTGCCGTAATCTTGTTGAACGTTTCGATGCCGTGGTTGAACTGAAAGCGATATGTAGACTTAGAAATGTATCAAATGTCTAGGCTGTCACGAAAGGATAACAAGAAGAAAATTTCGTTTATGACGATACTTTAGGAAACAGCAACTGGGGCGACCGGCAATACTCAAGTAATGTCAAAAGTAAACATTTTGTAATTATCGTGTCTTGAAATTCCTGGTAGACTAATTGTCGTTTCTGTCGAGCCTCACCCATAAGACAAATGTTAAGCCTTGTCTTAATACAGAGGACTAACCTTGAAACTTATACCACAACAATCGTATCTGCGACCATCTGTAAAGTCAGAACGTGCGTTTATATCATCCGACTGGGCGTAATACATTTCGTCCTATTGCGGGACGCAGCCGTCACACCCATGATTCGCAATAAAGAGAAATATTCCAAGCGGCTCATAAACATACCTCCCGCTTCGTTGGAAAAATAAAGAGAATTTTATCTCTTCATACAAACAATATGTCAGCAGTTAAGGAGTGTAGGGGCGTTAATTAAAACAATTTCACACGCCGGCTGGTCGAAGTAAAAACTCTATAATAAGGTTTCTATACTTCGTATTTCAATTGCGTCAAATTGATGTCGGCTTTTCTGAGCAAAATCTTACTTCCTGTTTATAATTTTTCGAACCCCCAGGGAAACGAAGGTTGGTTTGAAAAAATCGGTAGTTCGAGAAATCGCGGGTATCTTACTACTGTAGGAAACGACTTTTGGTTCCAGAATTCGAGATTCCACTGTAGGGTGATATGTGTAATATGTGAACAATGGCTTGTCTAAACTAACCTTGTAAAAAAGATTAAGATGCTGCCTGTCATAGCCGTTTGGGTCAACAGCCCAGTTAGTAGCCGATGATAAGTTGTAAGTGGTCACTCAAGCCCCCGGCTCAAGCCAAACTAAAGAAAAAGAGTACTGAAGCACTGGATACAACAGGGAAAAGAATATCCGGCATAGTCGATCACAAACTGGCAAAGGAATATCTACGTACCCTGGCCAGAATGTAAGCCAATGTCACAGATCTGCAGATTGTAATGGAACACAAACGGTTCCCGCCACTAGAGTGGCTCACGCATTTTAACTTTTTGGGCAGAAAACTCTTATTAACAGAAACAGAGCTTAGCTTATATGATTTCAGAATTTGGTTTTACATTACCAGGTTGCTCCTCCCATCATTTTGTTGTTCCCCGGAATTACGCGATTGGAAAAGGCGGAGATGCAGTCTTCTGTCTGTTCAGTTCAGATTCTCAAAGTAAAGTCCCAGTAAAACCTACTTTTAACCGGTAACACATAAGAGAATCAAAGCACGATCAGACCGACACCACAGGTACATACGTTTTATATGGCCTCAGAGTATGCCGATGTATGCACATCCATACCACTGGTGCGGATGGCATGCTAGTCCATTGCATGGTCACCTCCCAGCATTAACTTCGCCGGTAACCATTTATATAGGTGGACAGAGGCACTGTGAGAGTTAAGTGTCTTTTCTTTCCAAAAACACATCACAATGACCCCAGCCATGGCTATGTAAAATGTTTAAAGTGCATGTGCCTGTGATGTCGGCCTGATCGTGCACTGACTGGCGAGAAGAAAATTTAATACTTAGTTAGTGATTCTCTTTTTTAGGTATCCTTCAATAAAATCAGACAATTATAAGACAACATTAACCCGCTGTTCCGTAAATTTATTGACAACATAAATATTTCATTACATAAATTTTTCTAATTAGCTTCTGTCTGCATTACAACAGTTACTTCTAATTCTATTGACCATCTTTAATTTTTGTAATAATAGTGCTATCAAATCTTTGAGATCTTTCTTTGTGGACATTAGATGCTAATAATCACATTAAATGGATGTAACGTCTCGAAGTATCCCTTAAGTTTTTTTCAAATTAGGTCGCTATAACCAACTTCAGAAACTCAAGTCGGAATGCTTCTGGGATCGTCACTGTAAAATTTTACTTATAAAAAAACAACTAAACAAGCCAAAAATTCCCTTTTCCCCATAAAGAAAGCCATATTGATCCAAATGGAGGCTCCACGATAGGAGCATGTTTTTTGACCATCGTAGCTGAAAAACAGAGGAACCGTTAATAATATAGATTTATGCCGTCTACACAAAATGGTCACAACTCTGTTTCATTTGCTTTACTTTCTTTGGTTATTTCAAGCGGTCCTTATATGACTTGCCATCTCGCAGTCATTTAGGGTCCCATTTAGTTGCGATTATTTCGAAATTACTACCTAAAATCCTCACAACCGAGCATAGAGGAATTCCGCAATGTTTTGAAATATTAGTTCAACGCAAAACAGACACAATCTCGTTGACTGCTCAAATGACCCCAGAATTCCTAGCGCACTAAAGAGTCTCACTGAAGTTTCACCATCTTGGCCCTAGGCTCGATTACCAGCCGCTGTTCGAGAAAAGAGCCCGCGCTCGAGAAAGCGGTGGAAATCGAGCCTATCTTGGCCCATAAACGACCAAAGGCTTGAAGTTTCCAAAACTCCTTTAGTTGAGACAACTACCGTTGTCTGCCTCTACTGATCCTCCCGTCGAGAGTTTAAGGCTGGGTAAAAATACAGTTTCGAGAAAGATTTAAAGGTCTGGCAAAGATTGCTCTGAGAGTGGCACAAGCCGGTTAGGGAAAAACAACAACAAATAGCTCAAGTCACATACTTATGAAAGTGTACCAAACATATCTATGCGTTACGTTCTTAATTTGCCCTTCAAAGGAATGGGAGAAAAGAATATCAGTAATAAGTAATCACTTTAAAAAAAAATAGTATTATATAATACTACTCTATTATATAAAACTAACTCTGAATACGAATTTAGACCGTTGAAAGTTAAGTAAAAAGAAATAACCTCATGAAGCCAATACAATACTGTTGTACGTTCCGAATATATCGCATAATCTAAAAGCCGTGTAATTGCGTCAAATATGACTTGCGGCTTGCTTTTCTGATACAATAATTATATAATACAAATTAATAATAAAAAAATTCTTTTATATCTATGGTGACATTATAAATGTCTCAATTTCAATTTCCACAGGTATTAAAGTAGCACAGGTGAGTCAAATACTCTTTTGTTTAAAAAGGCATGCAAACGAGGCGAATGGGTCAGTACAAAGCAGCATGGACCCTTTCGCCTCGTTTGTATGTCAAACCGCTGATAACTGTAACAGTATATATTGGTAATTGTTATAGCATCAGTTGATTATCACTGAGTGGAATGCCTCTCTTAATATACACTACCGTCTGAACAGCACCCAAGCGCCTTATCTCTCATTTACAGTGACGCTTTGTAGGCCCACTTACGTAGTACCTGGGTTGTTTTAGTCAATATTTTTTTCAGCCTAAAGGACACCAAGCAGGCTCCCCCCGGAACAGTTTTTGGATGGAGTTCTCTTTATTAACGTTCGAAGTCGTCTGTTTTGCGGCATTTCAAAGCAGATGATCCTTAGAAGCTTTCAGGCTTGCCTAAAATATCTATCTGGTTTACATGCAACAAAGTGAAGCTCTTCAGTTTCTGCTGTGAAGTTCAATTCACAAAGCGCCCAGTGATCGCTTGAATTGGTTATGCATTGTCTTTATTCAGAGTTCATAACTTATGTTATGATTTTACGTATCTGTTAGATGGCTGTCTTCCCAAGGAGCCAGTTTTTCCTGTTTCAAAATTCACATCGCCCTGAGGAGGATATTTTTCGCCACAGTAACCATTGCCAGGTAAAGGAACAAGTAGTAAATTTTGCGCCGGTTTGTGGTCGTAATCAGGTGGATATTCGAAAATTCCAGAATTTCTTTCGCAGATGTCTCTGTCCTCATCGTCCGATCGCAGCTGTTCTTTCTCGCTGATAAAGTCGTCATTATTTTGCTGATCAATGCTTTCCCTTGCCTTTTCCCTCTCTAGCGTGTCTTTACGAGCTTTCTCCAATTCACTGTCCATGCGAAGGACACGTTTTTCTTTCGGTGGATCGCGAAGAATAAATTTCTGCTTTTCTTCTTCCTCGGGATTCTCTGCAAACGTTTCCAGCTCAATTTCTTCCATGGGGAGGGGGAGGGGAGGCAGCGGGGCGTGTTTTTCGTCCTCTGAGGTGGGGCTGCCAGGGGGTGGGAGAAGACTCACTCCGGGATCGAGGTATTCATCGTCAAACGTTGGCTCGTCAAAGTTTGCGTCATCCTCGCCATGTTCAAGATCAAGGTACCCTTCACCAGTCTACAAAACCAAGTACAGAGCGAAGGAGAATTATTACCTCGAGTTGCCAAAATGGAAGACTTTTTATTTAAAGAGGTCATTGCAATTGAATTTTTTATTAAATTGCAAGAGGGGATGGTAAAAGGAAGAAAGTGGGGGTTAAAACTACACACCCAATTAGTCAGCTTCTTCATCAGGGCATTTGGAGACTAAGGCGAAGTGATTTTGTGTGCATCTTTGATGTATTACAGAATTTTATCTTCTGATGTAAATCTTTATTAATTTTCCATTTCCCCATTTATTATCCAACCAGACCCAGGGGAGTAGTTTCCGGGACACAAAACACAATGCAAGGAGTGGTTTTATGGAAAGAAAAACAAAACGCTGTAAAACAAATCGGTTATGTGGTTTTCAACGTATATAATTGCTGTGCTCTTTTACTCGCGTCCAACGAGTAAAAGTGCATTTTTGCTCGCCTGACGGCTTGGTAAAATATTTAACATTATACAGGTACGCTAGCATATTCTTTTAAATGATTTCCTTTTTCATGCCTTTGGGAGAATTCCAGAAATTTTCAAGAAATTGTACCGGTTTCTCTACCCATGGGCTTTAAAACAGTTGAAGCAGTTTTGAATTGCATGAAATAACGAAGAGATCATGCAAGAAAACTGCTCAAGCGTATAAACGATTAAGAGTTTAACTGTCATGCCCTTTATGAAAAAAGACTTTGACGTTTTAATTTTAAAACGGATGAGGGATTTTGAATTAGACATTACCTCTGTGGTTTTGTCATCCAAAAGTCTATCAAGGCGTGCTGCAACATCTGTGAAGGAAGGCCTGTCCTCTGGACTGTGCATCCAGCTCTGACACATTATTTCGTACCTGTGAAGAAAGACAGAAAAAGATAAATACACATGTAAAATAGAAACAAACAGACAATCAAATAAATAGGTGTAGAACACATCGTCAATTGCCGACTATTTTAACGTTGTTTCGTCATCGGTACATGAACCTATAATTGACAAAAAGGCCAATCAAATGCTTACATTTCATCCGGGCAATCCACGGGCTGCTCCATGCGATTACCTTCCATCAAATACTGATACACTTCATTAGCCGGGAGGCCTGGGTACGGACTTCCACCTTGAAGTTAACAATATTAAGGATGGCATGTTAGAACGATGACATGTGAATTAAATGTTTAATTGAAGAGTCCTTTATCTTTTTTTTTCATCGCTACTTTTTCATAAACATTAAAAGGAATTCAGCTACATTTGATGCTTACCGAGTGTAAACAGCTCCCATAAGAGAACGCCAAACGACCATCTAAGAAAGAAACAGAATTCCAATTGAGTTATAAATTAACCGGAGAGTAACGCGCGCTGTGACTACCTAAAAGTTTTGTTTATACAGTGAAACCTGTATTAAACAGACACACTTGAGACAATTACTAGTGTCCTCTTAACGTACGGTGTCCGCCTTAAATAGGTTCTAATAAACTGCACAATAATAGTTAATTATTAACCCTTTTTTAACACAGTGTGACACAGTGTAAGATCAAAGACTGCACACAGCACAAAATGTCCAGTCAGTCAATACATCAATCTTGAACAATGAACAATGTTAAAAGCGTCTGAGCTGAGCTTTTATTAGTAAAAAGCCCTTGAAGTGTCTGCTTATTGCAGGTTTACTTTACAGTAAATGTGGGAAGAAAGTTAGGGACCCAAGCTGCTGTCCACTTAATAAAGGGTGTCCGCTTAATACAGGTTTCACTGTAATGAGAGAACAGAAGCATGGCTGAAAAGTAGAACTATCAACAGACGTTTTTGGGATTTTTGAGTAGCGTTGGATGTGAGATAGTGCTCTCACAATACTTCACGTCGTCAGAATTTTTATCGCGTTTGAAATTTACAAGCTGTCAGCGGTTCAGTCAGTTACCAATAAGGCTATAACTTACACATCACTCTTATGTGTGTAGACTCGGTCTACTAACGCCTCAATAGCCATCCATTTGACAGGAAGCAGGCCCTGCGATAAAAAAAGAAAAAAAATGTCGATTACCAAAGGAAACGACAACATTTTGCTGAATGTCCGCAAAAGAACGTGATTCCTCTTCACAAAGAACAAAAAAAGAATGTGAGAAGTGAAGTGGAAGAAGGAAAAGAGGCGAAAAAATGGGACACCTGCAGGAAATCTTTTAGCTCGCGAGCAGGCTCACCTTTAAGTAGCTCTTGCGAGCGAATCGATCCGGCGGGGAGGAGTCTAGCGCGGAGAGCCTGTTTTGATCTCTGTAAACTTTTCATATAACTAAAATAAAGACCCCATGCATTTTATATTAACTCTGGTCTCCCCCACCCGGTGAATTATCATTCTTATAGCTTACCGATGTTGTCTTGACGTAGTGCTCATCTTTGTAAATGTCTCTCGCCAAACCAAAGTCGGCCACTTTCAACACATAGTCCTCTCCTACCAACACGTTTCTGGCGGCAAGATCGCGGTGGACACACTGAAAATCAAGCATTGTTACGTGTTAATCTTGTGGCTTACTACCTAAAGAATGAACAGAACATGAACTGCAATCGAGATGATCATACTTGTAAAATATAGTTTTGATGGGGTCACGTGTAGACAGAAGGGTGGAGGCGCGGTGGCCTGATGGTGAGTGCGCTCACCACTGCATCGAGTGGTCCGGGTTCGAGCCCTGACCAGGGACAAAGTGTTGTGTTCTTGGACAAGACACTTTACTGTCACAGTGCCTCTCTCCCCCCAAGGGTATAATTGGTTACCGGCGAATTTACTCTTGGGGGTAACCCTGCGATGGACTAGCGTTTCATCCAGGGATGAGTAGAAATATTCCTGGTCGCTTCGTGCTACAGAAACTGATGCTGATGGGCCACTTGGCTCGTACTCAGGCATGTATACAGGAAGAACAAGAAAGACTTACCCGTCTTGAAGCCAGGAATTCCATTGCACGTGCCACTTGCAATGCACAAATATAAAGATCAATCGTCGTAAATGTTTCGTCAGCGTGCTCAGTGGGCGTGGTCCACGTCGCTTCGAAAATTTCACGACGCTTGCGCAGAAAGTCAAGCAAGTTTCCATGGGGACAGTATTCGATTATAACCCACAGATCCCGTTCACGACCTGAAGAGAAGAAATTTTATGGGGAGAATTTAGCGATGGAAAGTTAAAATAAGAGGATGTCAAGATTAACTTATTTAAGCAACGACAAAATCTCACCAGTGTCTGAATGCCTTTGACTATCAAGATTTTCTTCACTTACCCTTTGTGCATGCCCCAAGCAGGTTGACAATGTTCTTGTGTTCGCCGATGTGAATCAAAATCTTCAATTCTGACACCAAATCCCTGTGCTCGGCTTCTGTTGCACTCTCTGTTGAGAAAACCAGCAAGTCAGTGGCCAAGAAAGGTGATTAGCATAGCCAACGTGCATATACGATAAAGTCAGAATTTAATCTCAGTGTTTAGCTCTGGTTTCGGTCACAAGCTGTAACTGGGGTAATGCCCCCCTCTCGGGTGGGATGGTAAGCCATCTACATAAGTAAATTTCGGGTATAACAAATTTTCACGTTTAAGCTGGCTTAAGCTGAGACTTCCCTTTGAAAGAGTAAGAGAAGGGTTCATTCGTGGAACAAAAAGGAACAACAACTACAAACATAGGCACGCAAGGCGTGCAAGAGTTATTTTTTTGTGTGAAGTGTCGGAGATAGGAGCATTCATGGTACAGTGATGATTTGGTTAATTTGACATTTTTTCTTTGGTTGCGATGTTACATCGGTCATGGTAAGATAGCTAAATAGTAAGCCATAAAATGTTTGACTGAACAAACTACAGTAATCTGACATGTCTCCAGATTAATGGAGATACCATCTTATTTTCTAACAGGCAATTTGATTCGTTCTTTGATACAACCCGGTGTGACACGCGCGCATGCATAACTCCCTCACTCACCGATCACATAACCCTTCCAACCCCCAAGAGGAATTTTTGTTCAAAAATACTCAAGTTAATTTAGGGACTTTTTCGCA